TTTAACAACTCCGGGCATCCTTCACTTTCACAGGAAACTCCCCCTGGACAAAGTCCACTTCGGGACAAACTTCGCACCAGTTGGGAAGTGGAATGTATACGCCATATTCATAGGGCTTCATCCCAGGACTCTGTCGGTGTTTCGTCCGTCCACCTTTGAGCTCAGGGCCTGCTGCCAGACACCCGGCGACCTAGCAACGCTGACCCACAGATTCACAGACTTCAACTCCGAGGCGGCGACCCAGCGGGTCCTGCGACCTTTGGATTGCGGAGGGCAACTTTCAAACAGCAAAGCAGAACTACGAGCCAAGCTGATTCTCTGAGTAGCTGTAGTAATCTGCAAGATGTTTGTCCTCGTGAAGAAGGGCAGAGGGCATGTTGTCGCATGATCAAATCTCCCTTGAATGCTCGACCTTGTGAACCGTTGAATTTTATGCATGCGCAGATCTTGGTTTGACATGTCGATAAAGTCTTTGTTCACGTCAGTTTCAAATCCCTTGGTGGAAAGCTCTTGCAAGAAAACATCAGACCCTACTTCAGCGTGGCATGGCCAGTTTTGGTCTCGAGTGAAGCACTTACCCGTGAAGCTCGATGCGCGCCCAAGATTGATCTTGTTGATGCCGTCTGTCTTCAAGAGACTGTTGGTGTTCCCCCCCCCCGTATTCAACACTCTGAGCTTTCGCCATGATCAAGTCTTGAACCGCGAGCCAGCCATGTCTCCTCGATCAGCATCCAGAACTTTGAAGCCTGAATCAACACCAGTTGAGGGCCAATGAGCAGCAAGTCTTCGGTGTGGGAAATCTCGTAAGTCCCCTGTTGTCCCTCTCAAACTCAAACAGGCTGTAGACATGTTCATACATGTTCATCCAATGTCCCTCCGCTCGAACAGAGTGTACAGATCCGAACCCATGAAAACTAAGCTCGCCTTTTTGCACCATGCTCGCTTGCGTCGAAGGAATCCCCGGAAGACTCGCTGCACTTGACGAACCTCCAGGAGTCCCATGTCGCACATTTTCCCTGGACAAAGACTGATGGGCCTTCTGGTTGAACTTTCGAATGCCCTCACAGGCCTGGAATCGTTGTTGGATCCTGGCGGAAATGGCCAGATGTGCCACCTATAGAGATAAGAAGCCAATTTGTGTGACTGAAAATCTCGACTAAAACATTGATCAAAAAGAGGGAAATGAACGATTTGGTGTGATGTTTATTAGGGGAGCCCCCCAAACGATTGGTTTTCAATTTTCCGTCTGGTTGCCCTTTAACACCGCCAAAAAAAGGTTACCAAAAAAGCACACACCCAATTTGGTGAGTTCGGTTGTTTCTTAGGATGCCGCCAAGCCGTCCTGATGAACAAATGCATCATGAGGTCGTGGGCTCTGTATCGCCGGCGAGACCGAACATACCTTACACAGAAAGTCATGGTGACGCATCCAAATATCTATCTTGATGGCTCTCAGGTGTTGTTCTTCCTGGGAAGCCAAAGGAAAACCACCCTGTTTTGAGACAAACGTGTCGACCAATCGCATGCCACACTCTGCCCGCTTGTCCAAAGTGTTTGAACCTATGCCCCAGACAGCGCGATGAATCCACAGGCTCCTTGAGCCACCTGGCTTTCTTGCCGAATGCAACTCAACCCACAGCCACGGTCAACATAGGCCGGTTACCCTGAAGGACATGGCCCCAAATGGACCATAGACTGGATCTCTGACTGAACCCTCACATGCTGCCCGCTGAGACCAGCACCGCTCTCAGGCTTCGATATCTCTTGCGCTTCTCGATCTTCCCTGAGCGCCACCGCTAGAACTGCGCCGCTTTGTTGTTATCTTCGCAACTTAAGCTCCAAACGACGCAATACTTCGTGGAATGCAGTCTCGGCTTTGCCGGGCAAACACAGTGAGGAAGGGAAAACGCACATCGGGAGGCAACATGCTAAGTCCATGGCCCGTTTCCTTGGCCGAGTGCAGTCAACATGCAACTCCAATGGCTTCAGTTCCAGGCGGAGAGGGCTTGCGGATAGTTCTATCCTGCCACTTGAGATCCACAGTTTCCAAAAGAGAGCCTCGCACGTAACGCTCCGATCAGGCGTACTACATTCAAAAGTGTCATGAAATTAGGTACCCACAATGATAGGTTCCTTCGTGTTTGCCTTTGAGAATCAACCCAGCAGTTCCCCCCCCAAAAAAACACTAGTGCATTTGTGACCGCATGCAGGCCTCGCACAGCCGACCACATGCTTGGGCTCCGGAAAGGTTCCTGAGAACTGACTGTCACTCCGCGTGCTTCACGAGAAACAAAGGCTCTCGCCTGCTTTATGCTTGACCTGAGTGCCAGAGAGAGAGTCCCAGCCCTTCCCTCGGGTTTCCAACATGACTTGCTGGTTCTCAGCAGGGAATGAGTTGGAATGATGGGATCCCCTTCCCGTGCATTCCCAACACCCGGAACGGTCATTCCCCTGAGCACCAGCAAGATGAGACTTGGTTTTCGAAGCATCCACAAGGCGCTTTTCTTTAAGACAAACCTGAGATTCCCGCTGTGATTCCTGGCAGGCCTGTACGTGAAATCGGGGGGCCCCGAGGCGGATGTCCTTTTGACTCCAAAAACAAAAGGCAACCTGAAACCCAAATGCCCAGGTGAGTCAAAATCAAAACTGATCGGTATTAAAATGGTCCACCCATAATGTAAAGAAATGAAAATGCGGCTGCACCCATATATGGTTTATGGTTGGGACCTTGCTTTGGCAAAGGTTGCATGCCCCAGTAGTACTCTATTATTCGACATGCCTTTGTCACAATCACGCCTGCAGTGCCCGTAGGATTTTTTCAATGAAAGTCTAGTTGAAAGTTGAAAGCATATATGAGCAACGGACAAACTTGCTTAAAGTTCTTGTTAGTAATTTCCCCAAAAGGACATGGGAAGATTGGGTGGGCCACTGGTTCGTGTGAGAAATGTTGGTTGTCTCCCCATGTCCTCCCGAAGCCAACAAAAGACTACCAACCATACTGTCAGTGAGGCTTCTTTTGGCATGTTGCCACCCTGTGGCAAAGTGCCAGCAAAAAAGACAAAATCTGTGCCTTCGCCGAAAGCCGCCGCAAGAAATTGCCGCCCATCACCTGCCGGAAGCGAAGAGAGCTGAGCGCTGGTGTGTGTGTGGTTTACTCTGCCTGCGGGCTGCCGGGGCCTAGGAGGGACGTAAGCTGCTGCATGAGCAACGGTCAATATCGACTGAGTGTCATCTAATGGGGATAACATCGGGACAATGTGGCTCACTTGCTCTCTAGGCTGCAGACTGTTTGGCGTCGCAGACTCAATACGCCTAAGTTGCACAAGCGACAACTGCGTTCAGTCCTGGCACGCGAGTGCAGGACTTCTTGCCCAACAGCAGCTCGATCTTCCTCTGGAGTTTTGCCTGTAGGCATAACTGCTTGCAAGCGCAGCTGGAATTTTTCGCCGCGCCTCATCTGCCCTCGCGCGCCGGTTCTTGGCTGCATTCAGCTTGGCCTGACATTTGCAGCGAGTATGGAAGTCCTTTTTGGGTCACCCTGTTTGGGGGTGTTTGGGGTCGGTGTGGGTGCACAACCAAAAGGACACCATTTGGAGGTGTCGCCAACGACCTCCAGTAGCCATGATGTGTTGTTGTTGTTTTTTTCCTTTTTTGTGATGCTCCTTTGTTGCTGCTTGATTGAAACAAAAATCCTTCCACTGCAGGTGTTGCCTCGGTCTCCTCGGCCTGATACCGGCCTGGGCAAGGAATATGGCCATGAAAATGGTTGGGACATATGTTGTGGGCATGGGTCAAAATACAATCACCAGGGGACCGCAGATTTTAGTCTTTGGTTCCATTTACCAGGGTTCCATTTTGGGTGCGCATTTTTGACCCATAGCCATATGGCTACGAACTGGGCACGGGAGGTGCCTGAAATGGTACAAATACCGGCATGGGCATGCAATTGAACATGTCACCAGCGAACTCCCAATGTAAGTTCATGCCCAAATAAGCAGGTCCGCTCGGCTTTTTTGGGATGCACTCACCCCTTTGAAGATCTGCGGCTGAGACATCGGCTTGCTTCGTAGGAGTCGACATAGAAATTCAGCTGAGCCTGTCAAATGGCTTCTCAATAATGGTGTCCCCTCAGCCCAAGTTGTGTAAAATAAGCAGCTTTTTGCGGTCCCCACATTGTTTCTTGTTGAGCCACACCCAAATCATGTCAAAGGACCAGGATGCAACACATGTCAGAGACAACAAACAACAATGCACGGCCCCCCCCCCGGCCAAATAAACCACCTTTTGAGCTGACGGACTCGCTGTGAAACGAATCTTCACCCCAGCAAAACGTGCAGTTGTCCTTTACCCCCCCCCCCAAAAAAAACAAACATACAAAGACATAATAAAAATCATAACAATAAATAATAACAATATCAATATTTTGTTTTAAAAAAAAGAGACAAACGCGTATGCTCAAAAGAACTGGAGTTGCAGACAAATCGACCCACTCCACAGCCTTGTTCTCCTTGATAAAATCCTTGGGCTCCGCAGGAGCTGTAGCCTGTAGCCACAAATTCTGCCGCTCCTGGTTCTGTCTGTGCTCTCGTGCGAATTCCTGAAAATACAGGAAGAAACCAAATGTTGACCCCAGATCAATAAACCCATCCAATTAATTTCCAAAAGTGATGAAGCCCCATTAAACGGGGCCATCCCCCATTCATGAACCAGGGCCAGGGTTTACAATTAAACCGGAGTTCCCTTCTCGGGCACCACTTATCATTTTGTTCTGTCCGTTGCTCACGTGCACACCTCCATACTCTGCCCCCATGGACTGTCCTCTTCCTCAGCTTGATTACGCACCTGTTCCGCTGAGTCAAAAAACGAGCAGGCGAAAGTGGCCATGAATTCAACCGGGGAACTTCCAAAGTGGTTGGTGCACATGAACCGGGCCCCACCGAAATGATGCCTGCCAAGGGGTTCCCTATTAAAATTCACAAACAACTCTGGCACCATGAGCT